TTGTGCCAATTCTGAGACTATCTGTTTTTTGAAAGCGAACTCAGTTAGTTACCTTAAACATTTATTTTGACCAAATCACGAAATATAAGTCCCGCAAAAGGCGCGCGTTCCATTTCCGCGGAAATAAGTGTCTGCGAAAATAAGTGACAACGAGGTATCTAGTTAATGTAAGAACCTACTAGAGCGGGAAAAGTTCATGAAATGCTTTGACCTACGGGTTGACCAACAGGTTTTTCTTGTGTTGATGCTATGATTGCATAGCTACGAAAGTTACTGGATGGGGTCGGATAGCAAGTTTAGGGATACAGTAGATTAAAAAAATATGGATCGTAAAAAATGTTATATTTTTCTGCAGATATGGAGATCTCCAGTGGAATCAAGAAAATCATTGTGAAGCGGTGGGATTCGGCTGATTTCCTATGATGTGTGTTATGCTTTCAAGACTTTTAAGCAAAAACTTTCCAAATTTGATGTAACAAATGCGTGCATCAGTTTAAAATTGCAGTACCCTGTAGTTATTCTGCTTAGCCTTGATTATGTAAATAGTGTAACATTTTCCTACTGTACCTACTTCGTTAACCGGAACCTTATTGGCAGTTTTGCGCCGCACCAATCCCGGATACGAAGCGAGCTCCCGAAAGAGAAAGTAATCGCGAAAGATGATGTGCTATTATGGCTATTTTGTAATTCCAAAAATTCCGAACTAAGAACCGTAATATCAGATGCAACCAGACCCTTTGTAACTGGACGTTTATAAACCTTGTTATTGCACTTTTTTCCTCAGCTCTGTTGATGTAATGCAGATTAATACGAGCTGTTTCGCTATAAGTAATGCGGGATCAATGAATCGTGAATCGTTGGGAATTGTAAATGTTCATCTCAGATTGTTAATGGGCTCTTGATTTTCAGAGTTTGAAATTTAAATCTTAAGTTTTTCATAACAGGTTAAAAATGTAAAATAGATAACCTTCCACTCGCGTGTTTGTAGTCATTAATAAGATGGGACGAGTAGTTCGGGACAATGAAGTAGCAAGCGGTTAAGATTTCAGTGTAAACTGCCGTCGAGCTGGCGATTTACTCACCTGAAATTGCCATCTGGAAGGCTCTGGCCACAGTCTTGAAAAGTGCACCAACAAAAGAAGCCCATTCAGAACCTTTGACCGAGAATAGAGCAGTAAAAGATATAGCGTGACATCTAAATATTATGCAAAACATTGAGAAAGGGGAATCCCCTCATTATCGAAAGCATATTTAATGAGGTAAATGTAAACGGCTTTATATCGTTCATGGATAGCGAATTAGCTTTTTACGAATCACCATTTTGCGATTGACAATAAAGCAGATAAATGAAATAAAAGACGAAAATTCTCACCATTGGAGTGTAATTCAGGGCGGTGATTCAATCGTAGTGGAAGTTTTGCTCAAGCATGGAATAAAAATATTTTTTAAGTGAGACTAATGCTAACAGACAAAAGAAAACCTTGCAACATGCTTTGTACGTAGTAACATGACTGTTCTAACGCTATCCACCGTTAGATGGAGCACGCCGTTGTAATGATTTCGTTAGCATATTTTGTGTTTTCATAACGATTTTTCGGTTTATTCATTTTCGAGAGTTTTTACGCAGTGTTCAAGAGTCATAAGTAGCGAATTATGGTGCTTTAACTAAAACATTTCACGGTTTGGACACAGGTCAGACTTGTATTGTATGTGAATGTGATTGCTTTGCTGTTTAATTGGCGAAATTTGTCAAATTTGGCAAAAAGGGGATTGAAAATACCTCGCTAATTATTCTTTGCTGTCTTGAAGGAAAGAGAACACGGTTGATCGTTTCTAGATGAAGGATTAAATTTTGAAAACGGTCGTTTACCAAATCACGGTAGATGAAGCGAGTTTCTAGAAATGCTCACCGCTAAAAAGAAGGTCAACGCCTTGATTTATCAATAGCATCTTCTCTTTCTCTTACCATTATAATTTTTAATGTGGAAGCACGAGGCGAGCGTAAGGGGAAGAGCGAAATATTTCACCTATCTATGATTTGTTTTTTTGCGTCCCTGCATTCGCGCGCGTATCGCCGCCTTTTGACCTTACACGCCACCCCAAGCTGCGCAGGCAGGCTATCAAAGCAAAAATGGTAATGCGAAGCTGAGAGTTTATAGTTGCGGAGTACTACACTAGTTCCGGTAGCTACTTGGTAGTTCTTTCAACATGGTCATTTGCATACATTTGCATCATTTGCATCATTTGCATAAGTATGCAAGTGATCAAGTACTTACTCTTAGCTAGTATCAACTCATTCGTATAATTCAATAACCGCCGGATTGTGGACCACTAAGAGCACAGAAATAAAATCCGAAATGTTTTCATCCAAAGATATTTTGCAGTGTGCTGTTTCCTTTGCCATGGGTGCCATCATAATAATCCTGGTGTTCGTTATATACTCAAGACGTGGGAATCAAGCAATCAGACGTCACAAAGCCCCACAAGAACATGATGAAAGAATGGGGTAGTTGAAAGCAAATCTTTGGTGAGTAAGCGAAATAATGACCAATGATAGTAGCCAAAATAGTGGCGGGGATTCTTTCTTATGATTCTAGTTTGTCTTTTTATGAAACGAACACACTCGCACCGCTCTGAGACACGTAAGATTGGTTAATGAATTTTTATTTATTAGCTAAAAGCAATCTGACAGTAGTTGCATTTCATGTCGCTTTTCCCGAGGTGAAATCTAGTCGTAGCTGCGAGTTAGAAATAAAATTTAAAAAGTTTGAAGTAAAAGAAACATTGGAAACATCTCACGGATTTACTTTGTTTCGTTTTCCCTTAGTTCGTTTTTAGACATACTTCTACTCATGAACAAGGTTAATTAATTCATACGTTTATTTAAATTAAACGCATGTTGTTGGTGCATACGTACGTATGCACCAACAACATGCGTTTAATTTA